TTTATCATTTCAGATAACCAAGCACATACTCCAACAAAATTTTATTAATAATATTTAGAGAACTAATATTCTTAGTTTACTGTAATTAGTAAGAGAAAAACATTAAGAGTGAGAGTGATTAGTTGTGATTTTAATGAGGATGTTTGTTACCTTCTTAAAGAAATGCTACTGCAAATGTCAGACTTTAAGACATTATGCTCATACACTAAAATAAAATGTCATTGTAGTTCCCAGCAAGAATGCTACAAATGAAATAAGTACTTTAATAGAAACCCAATATTCAGTTCCCTGTTATTACAACCTACTGGAATGATTTAGATAGAAATGATGAGAAAATATAGATATTTAAGTGATACAAACCTGTGCAAATTCAAATCGTGTTAAATTATAAAAACACTCTTTAATACTATTTGAAATTACAAAGTCCTATCTCTATCTGAATTTTCCAGATATAAGACATTACCAGTAAGAAAAAGCAGACATGAGTTTCTATCTGCAGCATGCTTTGTATTAGTTATATACAATACTAAGTAGTATAGAGTGGTATTCTTTTTAGTCATAGAGAAATCAATAAGTTGGCCTTGTTTAGATTGGGCTATAGAAAATGAAAATAATATGGGTTCGGAATAAGGCCCCAATGTGAAAAGAGCAACACTCCTTTATGGCCACCGTCAACTTTTCTTTCTTCAATATTACCTAATTTGTGTTATTAGAAATTATTAATTTTTCCAGTTTACCAGCTAAAAAGTAAAAAACTTGAAACACCATACACACTTTCAGATGCAAGACAAGTTTACATTCAAACAGGAAAGTTAACTAAGTGAAAATTACATTAAGTAAATAAAAATAATAAGAGTCTAAAAACTGTAAGTATCTACGGTTTTCTTTATGCTCCTCTGAGAAGATATCTTTTTGTCAATGAATGTATTCAATATACTACATAGGGTTACACTGACAGGCCTGTCACACCTAATCTCTAAGAACTGGTGGGTTTAGGCTCTTTTGGCCACCATTATTGCATATTTGATGCTATTATGTACAACAGCTGAGTAGAAGAAGCAATCTCTCAGCTCCTGTTTCCAACTATAAGGGACAAGAATAAGGGCTGTGGTGATACTTGTTTATTCACTGTTGCTGCTGCTGAAGCAGAAAACTGAGAAAAGCATATACAACTAGTAAGAAGGAAAAAAAAGATTCAGTTCAGTTTATCTAGGAGGTCTGCTTACATCATTATACAATATACTTATTTAGAAGGAATTTTTTCTTTAAAAAGCAGGATGGGAAGACAAGAAGATAAAATTGATTGGTGTTTTGCTTAGAAAGGGCACCTATTAATGTATCTCAGAAAATAAATTAATGACCTGTAATGATCTGCAACTCCTAGGTTAGATTTAACTGCTCAATTACCAAAATTCTCAGGTTGTCTTATTACTCAGGCTCAGGGTAAATTCACACAGTGTTATTTTCTGTAGCTAGTCTCCAGGAGAATAAGAAAGTATCTACATTTTAACCAAGAAATGAAATTATATTTTGCTTATAAAAAGCTCCAGGTTCCCAGTTAATCACTACCATATGTTTCACATTAGATACTATTAACAAAAAAACAAGTTGTTTTTTTTTTAGCCCACAAAGTTTACAAAAATCCCAACTATTAAAAAATTTCTACATGTAACTTATCTACTTTAAATGTAACACAAAACTAAAAACTTAGTACATAACATAAATTAATGATGAATATGATAAATAATTGTTCTGTCAAATTATCTTTAAATTTAAATGTGACGCTATTTATGAACTTAAAACTGTATACTTAAAAGTAATTCATATCTTTTAACACCTAGGGAAATTTTTGATTCTGAAAAAATATTTTCAAAGTCAGAAAAATTAGGAAACCTATAAAAATTTTTATAAATGCTAGAACGGGCTAATACATTTTTAAAAATACTTGGTAAAAAAGGATAGGTTTGATATTTTTTAAAATAAAAGTATAAAATATAGTAATATTTAAAATTCAGATTATAATACTTTGTAAATAGAAAACACCCAATCTTTTATTTTCCTCAAATTGAAAACATAATTTTTCCGCTTAATAGAAGCTCAATAGGAAACAAATAATAAAAATAAAAAATAATTCTGAAGGTCACAGGATAATAAAACTTCTAAATATATGTATTTAATATAAAGGCTCTACAATAAAATACTAATAGCAAAATAAAAATATTTTTTTAAATTAAGATATTTCCAAACAGTAATAAATAAACTATTAACCAGAGGATTAATCAGTATCAGCAGGTGCTTTTGAAACATACTACATGTTTCTGTTCCAAGTGCTCTAACCAGGAAAATAGGAAAATAAAAATAAGCCAAATTATATGTTAATGAAATACCAAAAGTGTGGTATGTGTTGCTGAGAACGTAAATTCTACTTCAAAATGATGTTTAACAAAGAAATTAAATTCTCACATTAAATATTGCCTTTTGAAAATGCTTATCCGAAAATGTAATTCTGATGCATTAGATCTTATTTAAACAAAAGAAAAAAGGAATAGAATTAGGATGAATTTCCTACTCAAGAAAGAAAACAAACTATACTCATATACAAAACTGCTTCAAATAAACATTTTTTATTAAGAAAAATAATTGTATCTACTCTTTAATAAAACCTCTATTAAATAAAGTTGTTATAGCTGACAAGTTACTTAAAATATAAGTTGTCCTTATAAATAAGCATTATATACCAATGACAAATAATGAATAATTTCAAGTCCCTTTATACACATGTTAAATTACCTCTATTCTAGTTTATCCAAATATTTTCCTTCTAGATCCTAAGGATAACTATTTCAAAATAGAAACACTGATAGTATAGCTGTATTTTAGAAACAATTAAGAATTTTTTCTTAAAACATATGTCATTTAAACCCCCAAAAATGCATTTAACAAAAAATATAGATATTTGGACAAGATATATGTTTATCACTGGAAAAAAATTACAAATTTTTTCTCAAAATTCTGACATAATGAAGTACATATCAAGGCTTAGTTATAGATAAGCAGGTTTGCAAATTTACAACAGCCAAAATCCTTACAAAATGTCCTTTAAGGGGTAGTTAAAAGATAACCAACCACACTCTGCAGTATAAAAACTTATTAACATGTCTCCTAAAATAACATACTACAAATTAAAGTTTCTGACCCTTTATAAGAAGTGACTAAATACAAAAAACTATTAATATCTGCATTGACTCTTTAAAATGTTATTTACTAAGTTTAAAATTTGGAAGTTTATAAGCCAGTGTATGGACAATTTTATGATGCTAAAAATTTGTGTTCAAACAATAAGTTTTGACAATTTCAAAGAACACAAATCACAAGTTCTCTAAATTAGGCATAACTCTATGGATTTGTGTCCTAAAATACAATATAAATGCAAAAGCTGTCTCTCTTCACTTGTTTAATTAAATAACGCTGTGTGTAAAAGATACCTGGTTTAAAAATCCTGGATTTTTTTCCTTCAGACATTCAGAAATCATATTTTTTTATTTTTCATTATAGTTCTCTAACCTGGAAAATAATGATTAAGTTAAAGGGGAGCAAATTTTCATTTTCCTCCCAATTAAACTCAGGTTTTTCATAACATTCTCAAATCAAAGTTATGAAGACATTTTAATACTATGTATTTATCTCAATCACCTACAGTATATTGACATCAACATCTGAATTTCACCCTTATATTAAACTAATTTCTATTTAATTTTTAACATTTTATTTAACCTTAACTGTTAATAGATTCACATTCCTGGATTATCTATCTAATATCTATTTCTACAGAAATATCCAACATTAGCTTTTTAGTATTTTGATATTATATATCTCAATGTTCAGAAATTCTTAAACATACATTTGAGAATTTTCTACACTTGATCTTAGCCAAAAGGCCGAGAAGCGATGACATTTGAGAATTTTCTTTAAAAATATTTTATAATGTGTAAAGATGTTTATAGATAAAAGTTTTATGAGCATGATAATTACACTTTATTCTTAAGACTAAATTACACTTTTCTCGTGGGGAAAAAAACACACCTCATTTTTGTAATTCCTATCTTAGTATATAAAGTAAATATTTTTAGGTGAAAAAATATTTAAAGAAAACTATAGTATGTTACATTTTAGTAAACCTCACTTTATGTAGCAAATAGTTTTTAAAAAATCATAATACCGTTTAAATTCATTTTCATTATACCAGATTATCATTTAGAAAACAACCAAGAATTTTATTAACTAAGTAAACAAAATTTTCAACTAAACCTTTACAAAGAAAATAAATATGTTATGGAAGTCATTCTGTTGTAAAGTTTTCTGGAGGAAAAGACAATAAGTCACTAGAAATTTTGGCATTTCTCCATTTATTTTTAAAGGAGTTTGCAACTTCTGATACAAACAATTTAAATATTTTACTTGGAGTACCCATGAGTCAGACACTAGTTTCTACTTAAGAAAGTAGGTTTTTCAGTTTCAACCAAATTGCCACTTTTAGTTAGAATACTACTTGGAATCTTTAAATGCTTTTAAAATATTCTATTAATTTTATCTAATTTTATAGGCTCTGCCGACCACTAAACCTGTTATACAGCCAAGCACCAAATTCCATATGATTGAAACTTTCTATTTTATAAGATGAAAGGTTAATTTAATTCTTTTATATATAACACTATAATAACCCTAAGAGGAAAAAAGAAAAATCCCTATATATATATTTATTTTTAGACTAACTAAATTCAGTTGGTGTTGGACCTAATACAAGATGATACAATCAACTATGTAAAAGAATCTGGATTTTTAATAAGAGTACTTAACCATGGCTACTTCACAGGATGTATTAATATATCTTTACTGATTTTTAACTTAGCTAACACTAAAAGTTCTAGCTTTACCAATTTTGCAACCCAATTATATTGAAAAGATATAAAATTGTATGCTTCTAAAATTCATTAGTATACCTTAATCTCCTAACATGTTCCAGTGCATTATGTGAGTGCTCAATCAAAGAAGTTAGGTTGTTCTCCACAACTGGCTCTCTCCTAAAGGTCAAAACCTGCAATAAAAATGTCATGTATTATAGCATGAAGACACTCAACAGATTTCCGCCTCCTGAAGTTCCACAGTGGATCCCTGGACAAAGGTAGTAAGGTCTTCAAAATGACCTCAATCTTGCATATGTTAGAAAACACACACTAACTTGAAAATAATGTTATTTAAGTAGAAATAACTTGATTAGAAACACCTGTGATATGCTCTATCATTTGAAGCCTCTTCAAATCAGATTAATATGCTTCTGCTTTCATTTCTCTTTAGGGCATTCATTTTCAAAGCAGTGTAGCAGGGGAAGGTGCATAAGTAGGTGTTAGAGAACTGGTAAAGGGGACTCACAAGGAAAATACCAGAGATACAGTTTGTCTGTGCTTCTGAAACTTACAAAACCCAGTTAAAAAAAAAACTTAAGGGATGGAGAGAAACTTTCAAGTACCTTTCTCTCCAAATTATCAAACTTTAAATGATTATAGAAATTACCATTATTTTCAACTTTTGTCTTTTGCCATCCTGAGTGAACAATAATATTGACATTTCCAAATATTTTAAGACATTATAATTCTAACAGGACAAAATTTAGAACTTACTCTCTAAGCAAATTAAAATATAACTAATAAACAGATGAATATGGGGCCAATGCTTTTTTTAATGTTCCAAGCAGACATGGTGTAACCAAATGTATAAATGGCTTTTTAATTTGTTTCACCTATATCTTGACTAAGTGGCAATCAACTATATAAAAATATTAAATTGTTTAATTACCAAAGATTTATAATATACTATAAGTGAACCATAATGGTCTGAATTATCCATATTTATTTAAAAATAGCTTAGGAAAAAAAGTGAAAACCAAGTAAATTTTTACTCCTTTGGTGCCAAATATTTGATTATTTAATGGCAAAAACCACACACACATAACCCACAAACACCAATTAAATACCATGATATTTTTAAAAATTAAAATCATTACTACATAGTCTTCCTCAAAGATGTAGACAAAGTTTTCTATATTTGAGCATTCTAAAACTTAAGGTAGTTTAGCTTTAAAAAAATCACAAAAAAATGTAGTTGATACCAATATGTACTCCATGCCAAAAGTGAAGTTTTTACATAGTAGGAAAACAAAATATACTAGATAATAAAGAACAAAGGAAGTTCAAAGACAAGACAAATATTAAACCAAATGATAAAAAATACGATGTAAAAAAAATCTTTAAATAATGAAACTCAAATCTCAAATCTATTACAAAATAGTTTATTTTTTATACTTAGAACCCACGTCTTTCTAGTGCAAAAATTCTTTAGTAAAATAAGTCAGGATTAAACAAAAATATGTTAAACTTCTCATAACTTAATAAGAAATATTTAGAATTAAATTCATATGTATTTAATATCAATTCGAATATTTAAAACTTATCTTTACAGGAAGACCTTTTAAAGAATCTTGAAGACAGTCAAGGAGGGGAGTGGGGGGTAGGAAGGCAAATCGAAATAATTTCCCCTCCAAAAAGCAGTATTTATAGGAAGGCTTTACAGTCATTTGTATATGCAAATAATCAGAAAAATATATGAATACAAAAATATATAAAACAGATGTTATATTAATAAGACAATCAACTTTAAAGCTATAACAGTAACTTGTAAAAAAAAAAATACAAACAGCTTAATCTCATTTTCAACATTTATTTAAAAGAAAGAGGTAATCGTTGTATTTTATTACCGATTTTCTTTGGTATTAAGAGAGGGGCTACTGAATTTCAGCAAGTCATAGTTTGAGTTCTAATTACATGCCCAGATTAGTTGTTTGGCCAGAGTGTTTGTAAGCTTGCTGAATAATAATAATAAAAGAACAAAACAAAAATTGTCTAAAATATGACAATTCTTTCTAAGATGTGTTTTCTAGTTATAATCAGATTCATAGCCTGCTTCTTTTAAAAACAGGTTAAAAAGAAATCAATATGGGGGTCATTATGCTTCATTAAACAAAAAAAATAAAAGACAAGAGCCAATTTTAGGCCAGTAATTTGTTAAAAATAAGAGACAATTTTTTGTAGAATAAAATTTCAAAATAGTGTATACATTTATACTGATTTTTTTTTAATTGGAGAAAGTTTATGTATCATGTAGAACAAATAATTAATATAATCTGGCTATTTTATTTTTGTAAACCAAATCAACCGATCAGTATTTCTGTACTACAATATTTTGTTACATTCTGAACTATTACTACATATCAATAAATAAACAGAAAATAAAATATAAATAAGTCTCCACAATACAAAAACCAAAAATGTAGTATACCAAACATAATAATACAAGGAATCCAGAATATGAAAGTTATTTGGAAATTTTCATCTTTAGCTTTAGTTCATGATAAACATTAAAAATGATATTAATCTGATTAGAAAAATACAGTGCTATATACAAACACCTGAGAGTACATTTTGTAAATGTACAACTAAGATAGTTGACAGCATTAAAACAAAGTCTAAAACTGCATTTTTGTTTGGATTTTTAAAAACAGTAAAGACAAAAATTAAAATCAATGCTAACAGGAAGACTGATATCTTACCTCCTCTAGTTCCCTCTCCTTCCACCAATATGTAAACATAGCTTTAAAAAAGAGTTGAGCTACTATAGTAACACCTTTATCCACCATTATTTTCCTGTAGTATTGTGGTTTTTCTAGTCTTTACAGAATAAAAAATAAATTCAATCACATACATAATATAGTAATCATATGTATCTGTTGGAACTCATACCTATATGCCTATAAATCTAAAACCCAAACCTTATCTACCATCACATAAAAGGGAAAATATTTTGAGTGCTGTGGATTTTATTTAGATGCTAGTGTGTTTTCAAGCTTTAAGTGCAGTGTTTTAAATAAAGGAATCCTTCTCTTCTTTAAAAAAATATCTTATTAAGCAAGACAATCTTTCACCCGTCACCCCCCCCCCCAAAAAAAAACCCAAAAAATCAAAATACTAAAAAAAGTATGTTTAAATTTAACCAACTTGGTGGAATCTGAAAGCCTCCCCATACCATCAAATTCTCCAAGTTACATAATAATTTGAGTGCAAATTAAAACAGAAAAAACAAAACCACAGGGGAAAAAAAGCACACAACAAAAAGTAACAACTGGATTCATAGGTAAAACTACATTAAAAATAGAAAAGAGGTTGCCTATAATTTCATCAACTCAAATTTAATAAAGGATAATTAGTACTTTCTATGAAATTTTGATATGATTGAAAATAAAACAGCTTTTAAAAAAAGATAAGGAACATAGATTCTGTAAATGCAATTCTTGTTATGAACGCAATATAAAATAGTACCATTTATAAATTCAGTTATTCCACTTATTAATATAAATTATATTTATAGCCCTGCAGAGACTTATATAAGTCATATAGAGCCTGTCATTTGAATATTTCCTAATGCATATTTGACCTAATGTAAGAATACAAATTCTAAGTTTCAAAATTTCAACTACTACTCATAAAAGGATGCAAATTTCTATTAAATAATTTTTAAAAACTTTAAAAAGGATCAACAGTTATCTTTTTTTATCAGTGAGTTTACAATTTTTTTTTGAAAACCACACTGGACTTTTATCAAGCTGCAATTAAACGCAATGACAAGCGTGGTAATAAACAGAAGCATATAGATGACTGTCTCAAGCAAAAATCAACTTAAAACCTACCAAATAATACACATCATACCCATTGTTGTACGAAATATTTTCTTCATAGTAAATTTATCAAAGGAATGAAATAATATATACGCACCTGTGCATACTTACGTGTTGTACTGTGTAAATTAAGCAATATAAATTTCCTATAAATAAAGTTTTAAGCCCACTACATTGGCTGATTTAATAAAACATTTATTTTAAAGATGTGAAAAAATTTTAAAAATATATCCAATCTTTGTAAAAAATGTGAGAAAGCTCTTTGTCAACATTAAGAAAATTAAAATTTCTTCTTATAAAAATAAACCCATTCTCCCGCAATCTGCATCTAATAAATATGTGTAGCTTAAGATGAAAAATTTCTGTCGAAAAAATAAACAATCTCACAGCTTCACTCCGTTTTTAACCAATAGAGAACAGGGACAAGTATATAAAAAATCTTGTAATTTCTGCCAGCAGAATTACTATTTTGCGAGAATCGTCTCCTCAATTTTTACTTTTAATATATAATTCAGAATCACTCGAAGTTCTTTTAATGGGAAACCAAAATTTAAACACCAGCTTTTTCATTTTTTTCAACTCTCCGTATTAACGTTTTGTAATTATTTCCGTTGTCTAAAAATATAATTTTTTCGTCGAGAATTACAATCTAGCGTTTAACATTCAAATCCCCCAGTCCGCTTTCTTCCAGCCAATCAGGGGATAACGAGGCCGGGGTTTGGGGCGCTCCGTTAAACACAATTTGAAAAAAACATCACATTTCGTTCTCCCGTTCTCCACGGGAAAGGACTCTGCGCGAAGGCGGCTCCCCCCGTCTGGACAGAAATAAGAAATGGATCCCCGTTACTTCAGGGGGGGCGGCGGGCGGGGCGGGCGGCTCCGCGGCCAGAGCCCAGAGCCCCGCACCCCGCCCCGCGGCACTGACAAAGGTCATCATCTATGAAGTATCACTTAAAGCCGTCACCGGCTCAAACCGTCCGAGCTGTGGAGTAAGAATTGGTAGAAACTGGGAGCTAAAAACAAAAACAACAAAAAAAGCACCCCTGAAGGGAAAGACAAACAGCATCCCTCTCCCCCGCGCCGCGGGGTCAGGGAGTCTCCAGGAAACGGTGGGGGCGCAAAACTGCCGCTAAATTGTCCCGGGAAAGACTTTCCCCAGGAAAACATCAGGGCTGCCTCACAGATTGCTTTTATCAACGATTAGAGAAGAAAAATGTATTCTAAGAAAAGTGACTTGGAGGAAAGCGCAAGGCTCAGAGCCCCATCTTTTATTCCCTCCCCCCCGACCCCCCACCCCTCGGGAAGGACAGCGCCGGGGGAGCAGAAGACAAAGATCCCGAGCAAAAAGCGAAAGTCCAGCACCTTCCCCGGGAGCCCGCTAAAACCCCAAAGCCCCGTCACCCCCGATTGTCAGCGCGGCCGGCGCCGCCCCCGCCCGGGCCGGGGCGCTGGGAGCCCGTCCGCTCCGAGGGCACCGCGCGCGGCAGCGTCGGAGCGCGGCGGGCGGGAGGCGCCGCTACTTCGGGTCCTCGGTTCTCGGCCGACCCTAACTTTCCCGTCCCGAGAAGACGGCCGTCCGCCGGCCGGGGAAACGGCAGTAAAAGACGGCTCGTTTGGTCCCGCCACGGGGGGAGGAGGCGCTGGTCCTCCCGCTCCTGTCAGGGCGCCGCGGCCGCCGAGCCCCGCGCGCCGTCCGGCCGGGGGGTCGCGCTGACAGATCCTGGGCGGCGGCCGCGGCGCGTCCCGCTCAAACTGCAGCTCCCCTCCCCCACGCGCCCGCTCCCGCCGCGCCCGCCCGCCGCCGCCCGCTCACACACCCGGCTACCCCCGACCCTGCGCCCCGCTCTTTTTCGTGACTTAAATGAATTCGGACCCGGTGCCCACTCCCTGCAGCCCCGCCGCCTGCCAGTCCCCCCACTGCCACCTCCCGAGTCCCGCTCTGCTACTTCAGTCTCTTACCGACAGCGCCAGCCCTGGCCGAGCTCCGCGAACTGCCCATGGCTTGAAGTAAATTTTTGTGGGGATTTTTTTTTGTTTTTTTAGTGATATTTTTCGGTGGAGTCCTATCGGCGATAGACGGTCGGACAGGTTATCCCATCTCTCCCGCTAGATTGACGGGCTCAGGCAGCACTCGAAAATGGCGCCGAAAGCGCTCAGGCTCCTCATTCAAATTCGTTAGAGCCAACCCCGCCGCCCCGGGGCATGCCGGGAACGCGGGCTGCCTCCACAGCTGTCAATACCTCCTCCGGCCCCCCTTCCGTCTTTCCCGACCATTCTGCGCACGCGCCGGCCCCGCCCTTCCACTCCCCAGCCCGCTCCCTCCCTGCACATGCGCAGAATGACAGCTGTTCCCGGCTCTCCCAGCACTTCCTTGGTGGCAGCCCTCCTACCTCTGTTCCTCGCGCGTGCGTGCAAGTCCTCCTTTCCTCAGCCTCGGAGGTAGGGAGACGGTGGGGCCGTGGGCCTGAAGATCCAGAGGCGATGTGTCAGTCTGTAAGCATCTAGTCTGCTGTTCGAGGAAAACACATAAGGGTGCAGCTTAAGCGAAAGGAAAAATGTCCTACTGCCAGTGTCTAAACCAACAGAGGAATGTGTCTCCCAGACCATCTATCTGTATTGGGTGGATACACGCGCACTTAGCCACCCCACCGGTGTGCAGAGCTCTTGCTGTATGCCGACGCTTTGCAGGAGCTATCGCACATAAGCTTCAGAACAACTCTATGAGGTAGGTACTATTATTTTGTTTGCAGACCAGGAGACCCAGGCTGAGAGATTTTAAGTAATTTGCCAGGTGATTAACCTTCCATTGTGAAGGTTAAAGCAAGCATGTGGATGAGTCCGCATCTGTCAGATTCTGGAGCCCGAGGCATTCTCCTTGCTGTGCAATCCAACTGGAGCACATACAGGAGGCGTGGTTTCCCCTGCTCCACGACAGTGTGTGTGTGTGTGTGTGTAGTTTAGGAGTACTTAAATTTGTTGTATTTGCTATAATCCTCCCCGGTCCTGTTGCAAAGACGCTTTCGTCGAATCCAGTTTACCTCAACATCGTACTTATCCTTAAGCATTCTCTCAGTATGGGAGAGGTTGGGGCAATCTATGGGTGTCACATAGAGTAAATTAAAAAAAAAAAAAAAAAAAAAAAGCCTGTTAAGTGAACTGAATCTAGCACAAGGGTTTCCATTGTGTGACATACTAATAAAATAATAATACCTAGTTTACCACGTATTGTTTGTGATGGGCACGGTGCTAAACTATTTATGGATAGATCCTGTTTATATCTCACAACAGCCATAAGAAGTAGGTAATGTCCTCATTTTACACATGAAACCCCAGACTCAGATCAAGAAATTTGCCCCCAAGTGTTACAACTAGTAAATGGAAGCAGAAGACCTAGGCAAATCTGTGTTCACCTTAAAAACGAGGTGCTGTGATTAAATAAAATGATGATGAACTTGTCAGTATTTTAACACCTTCCTTAAAAATTCCTTTCAGTAGTTCATTTGCTTGGTAGAATTATCCTTGCTGCCAGTAGGCTAGTTAAGATGGAAAAAAAATTTTTTAAACTGCAATTGATCTGAAATTATTAGATTTTAAGATTATTTTTGATTGCTTACCTTTTCCTGATTCCAAATTATAATGCAGTTTCTAAAGAACCCAAGAGTTTAAAATCTGGGGTATTGCTGTGTTGTTATTTTCCTTCCAGTTTTTGTTGCAAAACAACTTGTGTTTAAGTATATGAAGACATTATCATTGTGAAGGTTAAAACAATGAATATATAAGTGCAGGAAGTGTTAAGGAGTGAGGAAATGGAAGAAGGCTGGCACGTTTGCATTATGAAGGTACAATTGAAAAAGGAATGAATTTTAGTAATTTCAGATCTAAAAGTAACATGGCTAAGTAGTATGTGCATCTTATATCTGTAGGTACTTTGGTACTGGTTAAGTAAGTGGACTCTGGAATCACATTGCCTGGGTTTGAATCCCAGCCCTGCTACTTGCTAGCTGTGACCCTACAGGAGTTACTTTTTCTGACTTTGATTTTCTGTTGAAGCAGTAAGGCTAGTGCCTCGTTGAATGGTTGTAACGATGTAAATGAGCTACTATATTTAAGGCATTGAACAGTGCTTGGTATATTGGTAAATATCAACTAATAGTCTTTAACATTGATCTTTCAAAATGGCTTCTTTAAGAGATGTTTTAAAAGTCAAATTGTAGTTAGTCATTAGGAATTAGCATTCATGTTCAAGAGTCTTTTAAAATGATAAATTAGCCTGATCTATGTTTTTTGCCAAATACGAGTAATGATTTCTGTCAGATGAATAAGGATAGTAATTTGTATACGAGTAACCTGGAAAATGGTTTTATTGCTCTTTCTAAATGTTAAAAAAAAATAAAAAATCAGGCCAGTCTAAAATATATAAAATAAGAACCATCCAAATTTCTGTAATCCAGAGATAATTACATATTATTTGTATTTTAAAAATATAATGTACCTTTGGGAAAAATCAGCTAGGGGAAGTCTAGATAAGTGATATATTTGGGGAACTTATTTTCAAGACTATATTGAACTTCATGAATTGGTAAATTTTTTATAGTCCGTCATGAGAATGACAATATGAAATTGATAATGTTTATAAATAATACCATTGAGTACCTACTCTGTCAGGTACTGTGCTAAGTATATATGCAATTTTCACTTGAATCCTCATAACAACGCTAGAGGTGGGTGCAATTATGATCTCCATTTTGCACAGACTAAAGTTTATATGGAAGTTACTTTTAGATTTAAGCTATTTTGTTTAAAATATTTTTTAATAAACCCAAAATATTTAAAGCTCTTGATTCATTAAAATGGCAGGGGGGAAAATCAAGTTAACATGATTCCTATGCCTGAATAAAAAGTTCAATTGAAAAAAATGAAAAGTTTTATTTGACCACAAGGGGGTGCAAATTCCCGAGTTGAATTTCAAAGGAAAAAAAAAATAAAGCGTTTAGACCATAAATTCACAGGAAAGAAACTAGTAAGAATACTTTCTCCAAATTTTAAGACTCTACAGAATGATGTACTTTATGAAAAGAAAGAACTTGATTATTTTAGGTACTCAAGGCAGTTTTCAGCTTTTTTCATTTCCCTCACCCCTTTCATCTATCGAGTTTGTGTCTCTGCATACTCTTTACTTGTCCTGACAGTAGAACTGAAGTCATAATTTAAAATTCGAAGTTTTAGGTGGAAACTAGAATGCAGTCAACAAATACTAAATATGGATTTAGGGTGGATGTAGGATGTAAGATGTAGGGTGGATGATGGTATGTTGGCTTCAACATATTAAATTATTTAGACAAAATTGTGAAATTTACAAATATGTTCATATTTTAAGAAAGAATGAAGACCGTTAAAGAAGAAAGCAGCTTGAACGGTAACTTGAAAACTGCTATACACTATTGAATGTTCTTAAAAAAACTTATTTAGATGGGTACCTTTCATTTTCCTGTTGGTCTTATTTCTCTGAGGGGAATTTAATTTAAAAAACCCAACGAACCCTTTTATTTGGAAATAACTTTAAATTTACAAAAAATTGGAAGGCAGTTGCTTCCTCTTATGCACAGTGTTTCTCTTTTCACTATTATGTGTGTCATTAAACTTCTTTTTTCCTGAACCATTTGAGGTTAAGTTGTATACATCATGTCCTTCACTCCTAAATGCTTGAGAGTATATTTCTTATAAACTTCATAAATTTACATTGAAGTAATATTTTAATCTGCCATGATATTCCAGTTTTGTAGGTTGATTCTTATAGCATTTCCTCCTCCAGGACAGATTCAGTATAGGATTAGGTACTGCATTTAGTTGTCCTGACTCTACATCCTTTATTTTGGAACATTTTCATAGCCTTAAAAAAAAACTTTACCTTGACATCTTTGAAGAATACAGCTTGTCTCCCCACCCCTATTTCCCCCCACCCTCATTTTTAACAGAACATTCCTTATTTTGTTTTTGTCTGATGTTTCCATATGATCAGATTGAGTTATGCAGTTCAACTGGATTACTATGCAGATGGCATGTGTCTTTCTCAGGGTATCACTTCTGGAAGCACATGATATCCATCTGTCCCTCACTGATGATGTTAATTTTGATTACATGATCCATATGTAGCTTGAATATTCCACTGTATAGTTAGGTGTTGTTGTTTTATTCTTCCTGGCAATTAATAAGCAATTTCATCAAAATTACCATTTAAGTGTGTATGTTCTATCTATATTTATATGTGTACATTTTGTAATTTTTTCTGAACACTTGAAGGTAAATTACATATACCATGACCTTTCACCCTTAAATATTTAAGTCTAATATTTAATTATTTCGCTGTTCAAATTGTCCCAGATTTAGCTAGAGGGAAGACTTTTTGGTCTGGCTCATGTGTCTTTGTGACATGCCTACATCATTTTTTTTAAAAACTGCCTAACTTTGTGGTATAATAAGATGTTCCATGTTTATCTTATCTTTACCCTGTCCCACCCTGGGATTAACTTTTTCTCTAAGGAGCCCTCTTAGTGGAGAATTATATTAGAGACCAAGGCTATGTATGCTCACTATTACTGAGGTATCTCTGCTCCTTGGACCTTTCAGAGGCAAAGCTAGAATATATATGCATATATATGTGTGAATACACCAATATATATATATGTTAATGGCATAGGTTTAATTTTAAATCATTTTTATTATAGTTGAAATGTCATAGCAATTTCATGAAGTTTTGAATAAAGGCAATGAAATCATAGTCCACACAAACAACTCACATTTTTCATTTTCCCTTTGTTAATGTCTATACATCTATTTTTTATAGGGTTTTAGTGTGAAATTATTTTGTCTTTTTCAACTTAACATGTCATAAACATCTGAGTTACTATATCATTTTTACAACCTTCATTCCAAATGGCTGGGCTACATATTTCATATCATTTAGCCAATTCTGCAATTCATTTATTTCTGGCATTTAAGTTGTTTCCAATATTTTGCTTTTGTTAAAAATTCTGAACTGAACGTTTTTATGCATATACCTTTCCTAATTGACTTTTTTATTTATTTGTTTGTTTATTGGAAGATTTCCCAGATGTGGGAATAGCAGTTCTCAAAATGTAGGTATGTTTTGATGGGTTTGATATGTACTAGCACACATTAACCAAGCATTTACCATGCAGAATTGGATAAAGATGAATCTAGTCTCTGTTAGCAAGGAGTTGAAAGTCTAATGAAAAAACCATAATTTTTTAGTAAAAGGCGAAAGATTTATGCGGTCTGAAGAGAAACCAGAGCATAGAACCATAATTTTTTAAAAAAAGTTATAGTTTGATAAATATAGAGGAAGAGATTATAATCCAGGGTAGGAGTATGTGGCTCAGAAAACCTTTACAGGAGGAGGTTTCAATTGAGCTGTGTCTTGAAGTACAGCTTGATAGAGCTGTCTTGAAGGATACCTTAGTGGAGCCTTAAAGGATTGGAGTTAGCCTAGTTCCAAGAGAGTAGAAATAGGCCAGAGAAGCATTTAAAGCAGAACCATTGTAGTATGAAAAAACAGGGAGGTTCAAGAAAATTCAGATAGTTACTGTGATTTGTTGTCTAGGTGCCTTTGGAGGAGGTGAGACAAGCCTGATAAGTGGATAGAGAGAGGTTAAACCATGAAGGGCCTTGCATGTCACCTTTATATTGATGGAATTGGGAATCCTTAGACCAATGAGTAATATGATCAGATTTATATTTTAGAAATTTACTTTAATAAGGGTACTGGAGAGCAGAATAGAAAATCCAAGAAACATGAAAAAAAAACCAACCCTCCTCACATTTGTGGTATTAGTAAAGAAAGGCTAGTGGCAATGTAAATTAAAACAGAACTTTTGGAAAGTAATTTAGTGATATATAAAAAAGGGTTATAAAAATATTCCTATTTTTCCTTTCAGAAACTCTATTTTTAGGAACCTAGTCTGGGTTAAATAAATCTGAAATATGGGGGAAATCTATACAGGAGCCTCATTCAAGCATTAAATATAATAACAAAAAAAAGGGGGTAGGAGAATAAAATGTCTCATAATAGGAATATTATTAAGTTATGGAATATCTACTGCATTTGCTATTAGCATCATCACAAAATGATGCATATCAACATGGAAAGTGTTATGAAGTGCAAAATATAAAGAAGTATAATTAGCATGGTTATAATTCCGTCTAAAAACACACAGAGAATGCCCGGCTTGCGTGGTTCAAGTGGTTGAGCATAGACCTATGAACCAGGAGGTCAGGGTCTGATGCCTGGTCAGGGTACATGCCCAGGTTTCAGGCTCAATCCCCATTAAGGGGCGTGCAGGAGGCAGTCTATCAGTGATTCACATCACTGATATTTCTATCTCTCCCTCTCCATCTTCCTTCCTCTCCAAAATAAATAAATAAATAAATAAATAAATAAATAAATAAATAAAAATATATATTTAAAAACCATAGACAAAAATATACTTAAGCAAAAATTTTCAACTCATATTAATTTTTTCTAGTCAAAGTTAAAATATACATGTTAAAAGGCCAATCTAAAATTTGGAATTGTTGATACCACCAAACTATGCTTCCAAGGAGCATGGGTGTTCTATGATCTAGTCCAGTGATTCTGAAACTGAGAATTTGTTGAAAGCTAGAAATCCTTTCTCTAGATTTATGTACATGGTTTGCATAACTTCAGAAATGGATGATGCCTGATGTAAGATCCTGAGGAAAACTGTATGAACAGTTATATCTATAGCAGAATAATGGTCCTCCCAAAGATGTCCATGCCCCAGGATCAATGAATTTGTTATGTTATATGGCAGGTTGCAAATAAAATTAAGATTTCTACTCAGATGGCCTAAAAACAGATTATCCCAGATTAGCTGAGTACACCCATTGTAATTATAAGGTTCTTCTAAATGTGGAAGAGAGAAGAGTAAGAGTTAGTGTTAGAGTATTAAAATGAGAGACAGACTCAACCAGCTATTGATCTAAAATCCCTTTACAATTAATAATGGTTAATATTTATTGAAGAAGTTTGTACTTTCCCCCTTTTTTTACCAATAAGGATATTTGGAAATGGATAAACCCATTTGTTGCAGTTATCTACTTTCTAAAAAATTAGTGTGATAATGCTGGCCTTAGATTAAATATTAAAAATAATGCTTTGAAATGTTTTTAAAATAATGTAATTTTCATAAGAGCTTAATAAAGAAAATTTAACCTATTCAGGTTTGGAGTCATAGAATCTTTTTTCACATAACTTTTATTACAATATGTTGTTAAGTATTATGCTATTTTATTATTTCTTATTGTTGTTTATCTTTATTGTTTAAGGTATTACATATATGTCCTTGTTCCCCCATTTCCCCCCCTCCCCACCTCCACCTCCCACTCATGCCCTCACCCCCCTGTTGTCTGTGTCCATTGGTTAGGCTTATATCAAGCATACAAGTCCGTTGGTTGATCTCTCTCCCTTACCTCCACCCTCCCCTACCTTCCTTCTAAGGTTTGAGCATCTGATCGATGTTTCTCTGTCTCTGGATCTGTTTTTGTTCATCAGTTTATGTTATTCATTATAATCCACAAATGAGTGAGATCATGTGATATTTATCTTATTTCGCTTAGAATAATGCTCTACAGGTCCATCCATGCTGTTGCAAATGGTAGGAGTGCCTTCCTTTTTACACAACATAGTATTTCATTGTGTAGATGTAACACAGTTTTTTAATCCATTCATCTGCTGATGGACACTTAGGCTGTTTCCAAATCTTAGCTATTGTAAATTGTGCTGCTATTAACATAGGGGTGCACATATCCTTTCTGATTGATGTTTCTAGTTTCTTGGGATATATCCTAGAAGTGGGATCACTGGGTCAAATGGGAGTTCCATTTTTAGTTTTTTTGCGGAAACTCCATACTGTTTTCTATAGTGGCCGCACCAGTCTGCATTCCCACTAGCAGTGCACGAGAAAGCTTACTGCATGGGAGAATATATTTGCTGATGTTATCTCCAATAAAGGTTTAATCTCCAACATTTACAGAGAACTCATACAATTTAACAAAAGGAAGAAAAACCACCCAATTAAAAAATGGGCAACAGACCTAAATAGATACTTTCTGAAAGAGGACATAAACAGACATATGAAAACATGCTCAAAGTCACTAATGATCTGAAAGTTGCAAATCAAAATGACAGTTAGGTACCATCTCACACCTGTCAGAATGGCTATCATCAACAAATCAACAAACAGACAAGTGCTAACAAAGATGCAGAGTCATAGCTTCTTAACAGCAAAAGCATGATTCTGTAATTGCCACCATTGTCAGAGTGCCCCCTGTAGTTACTGAGAACAAATTCATTTCCACCTATCTGCGATAACCCTTATTTTCAACTGGAAGATAACTGAACCTCTACTCCCCCCAAAACCTTTTTGTTTCTTTGATGGCTTTATGATTTTAAACCCTTTACTATCTTGGCTCCCTTCTTCTG